GTGCCTAAAAGGGTGAGGACAAGATAGGAGGAAGAGGATGTATGAGCCAGAATTGTCTGTAAGCATTTGAACAAGGTCCTGCACTGACTAAACACTTAACCTGAAATCATGTGGGTGATTTCTAAAAAACACAGCAAGTTAAAAAAGGAGGCTGTAAAGCAGAAGCTAGAACAGTCTGTGTGACCTTGGGCAATTCACTGATTCTTTCTGTTTTTTATCTAAGCTTCTTTCCAGGTTTCTAGAACCCAATTTCAGATTCAATTGCTAGTTCAGGGTTCCTTTCACACTATATCATCCTGGTCAAAAATAAATTACATGCTTCAGTTGACTGAAAAAGAAAAGAAAAAAAAAAGAATAAATTACAAATTTGGCCCTTTAAAAAATCCAGAAAAGGCTCCTACATCTTTAAAAATTAATTATTAAATAGATCTTCATGAGGCGAAAATCTCTTTTGTCAGTCCTCCCCTCCCCGCAATAGGGGCTTCATGCACAGGGCCTTGACCTATCCAATACCCAACTATTTCCCAATGAAAATCCAGAGTGAGTATAACTGATGCTTTCCACCTTGAGCAATGAGGCTACATTGTCACTGGAATGTAAATATCCTATCTAATCAAAGTGACATCTTATTTTGATTTATTGCTTCCTTACTTTCCTTTTAAGGTCATCCTCTATTTCTCTTTTCTCCTATCAGAAGGAAGGCAAGTTGATAGGTTACTAGCGATTCAGCATAGAATGAAACCTGCTAACTGTCACCACCTCTGGGGCCAGGTACATCACTTGCCATAACACTTCCTAGGCTTCACTGGGGCAAACTCTGTTGAACCAGACTTGAGTGGAGTGACATTGTGTAATGTACTCCAATATAGTGTAGCTGATGCCAAAAGAGAAAAGTGGGAACTGTCTCCTGAAATCTGCCACAGATACACGAAAAATTCCAAGGAGAACAAAGGTGACAAATCCCTGCAGTATGCCACATTTTTATTTCCTGACGATGGAAGGTGCCACAGCATGCTATTCATCTTCGGGGAAACTGAATAAAATGTCTTCTGAGTCACCAGTTTAAAGAGACTTTGTTTTAAAAATATAAACTTGATTCTATGAGTTACAATAGAGATGGAACTTTATCGTTGTCCTGGAACTTAAATAATTCTAAAAAAGGTTAAAATATTTCAAACTTTCTAATTCTGTTGCCTAAAATAACTGCTGTTAATAATGTATTAGGCCGGTATTATAAAATGCACTTTCTGAATATGTGAAAGTAGAGGTTAAAGATAAGACCCAGCTTGGTTATGAGGCAGCAGAATCTGGTAGTTAGTAGTGCAGGTTCTGGAGTAAGAGAGTTTAGCTTCAAATTCTAGCTTCACCATTCAATTGCTATGTGACCCCATGTAACATATTTAACCACTCTAGGCCTCAGTTTCCAGATCTGCAAAATGGGAATACCAATAATATTTACTTGAGACCATTGCTGTGAACATAACAGTAACTAATGTATATAAAGCATTTGTATGGCACTTCAAACGAACACTCAGCCAGGCACCATGGCTCACACCTGTAATCCCCGCACTTTGGGAGGCCAAGGCAGGGGGGCCGCCTGAGGTCAGAAGTTCAAGACCAGTCTGGCCAACATGGAGAAACCCCATCTCTACTAAAAATACAAAAATTAGCCAGGCGTGGTGTTGGGTGCCTGTAATCCCAGCCACTCGGGAGGCTGAGGCAGGAGAATCGCTTGAACCCAGGAGGCAGAGGTTGCAGTGAGCTGAGATTGTACCACTGCACTCTAGCCTGGGCAACAGAGCAAGACTCTATGTCAAAAAAAAAAAAAAAAAAAGAACACTCAACAACTATTAGTGGTTGCTATTCTAATGGACAATTCCTATTAATATATAGGAGTTGTTTAAATACTTAAAAGTTGAAGCTAGTTACCTGTCTTCAGATACGATAAAGTAACAATTATGTCAGTTAGAATATTATTAAAAATATAGGCCTGGCGTTGTAGCTCATGCCTGTCATCTCAGCACTCTAGGAGGCTAAGCCAGGAGGATTGCTTGAGGCTAAGAGTTTGAGATCAGCTTAGGCAACACAGCAAGACCCATCTCTGTAAAAGAAAAAATAAATATACATATGTAATTATTTCCTGGATAATATATATGGTATACACAGGTATTGGCCAGCCACCTGCTCTGTTTGGTAAACATTGATCCGCATCAGATTATGCATTAGCTCTTTCCATTTCCCAATTTTGCACTGAGATGACAACAGAGAAATGAAATACAGCCCTGTGCTGTATGGTGAAGAATTATACCATTTAGCTATGAATCTGTCCATTCTTGCTTCTCTGAACCTTTACATGTTTTTACATTCAGGTTCATTTCCTTGAGCCTTCAGGCTGTAGGCCATGTTAATTTTCGAAGCAGTCCAGAAGCCAGTCCTTCACACTGAAGATATTATAAAGCTCGTGCTTTGAATATCTAGCGCTACCACGTCCCCCTTGTGGTCGTGAAGAGTATTTGCAAGGCGCCTGGGAAACCACCGGAAACAGCAAACACATACTGGATGTACCCCCGTAGGATCTTGGTTTCTGACAACCTAGATAACAACATTTGATTCCAGGATTCTTTTGATTAACACTTTGTGGCTTTTTAACATATGGAGCAAGAAGAAGAAAAGCAAACCCTTGACCAGGCACGGTGGCTTACACCTGTAATCTCAGCATTTTGGGAGGCCAAAGCAGACAGATGACTTGTCGTCACGAGTTCGAGACCAGCCTGGCCAACATGGTGAAACCACGTCTCTACTAAAAATACAAAAAAATTAGGCAGGTGTGGTGGTGGGCCCCTGTAATCCCAGCTACTCGGGAGGCTGAGGTGCGAGAATCACTTGAACCTGGGAGGCAGAGGTTGCAGTGAGCTGAGATGGCTCCATCCATCTGAGAAGGGGAGGGGAGGGGAGGGGAGGGGAGAAGACGGGGAGGGGAGGAGGGGAGGGGAGGGGAGGGGAGGGGAAGGAAAGGGAGGGAGGGAGAAAGAAAACAGAAAAGCAAACTCTTAAGAGAACCTGTTAAGAGAAGAGAGAAGTAACAAGTATGCAGTTACTGCAATGATTTCCACCTGCCCTTCTCCCTCCGACATGTATGACGTAAGAACATGTTTTCTATTGAGTTTCAATGTTAAATATTACTTGTCACTCCTATTTTCTTTGCTCTCTTGTTTTAGAATCTAAATCTCTACAAATAGGAATCATGAGCCTTTAGCTTGGATAGCCTTTAAGAAAGCCTGCCTTCTCATTTCTTTTCTTTCCTTACTTTCTTCTTTCTCTTTTTCTTTCTTTCCTTCTTTCTCCTCTTTGTTTTTTTCCCTCTCTTTTTTTATAATGTCTCGCTGTGTCACTCAGGCTGGAGTGCAATGGCACAATCACAATTACGACTCACTGCAGCCTTGACCTCCCTTGGCTCAGGTAATTCTTCCACCTCAGCCTCCTGAACGCAGTAAGCTGAGACTGCACCACTGCACTCCAGCCTGGGCGACAGAGTCTAAAGATATCTCAACGTGTCCCCCGGGCTGGTCTCGAACTCCTGGGTTCAAGTGATCCTCCCACCTCGGCCTCCCAAAGTGCTGGGATTACAGGTAACTAGGACTACAGGCGCACCATCATGCCCAGCTAAATTTTTATAGAAATGGGGTTTTGCCATGTTGCCCAGGCTGTTCTCAAACTCCAGAACTCAAGCGATCCTACCACTTCAGCTTCCCAAGTAGGCGGGACTACAGGTGCTTGCTACCATGCTCAGCTAATTATAAATAATAGTAAATTTGGCAGGGCGCGGTGGCTCACGCCTGTAATCCCAGCCCTTTGAGGTGCTGAGGCAGGTGTATCCCTTGAGTTCGGGAGTTGGAAACCAACCCGGGCAACATCGCGAAACCGCGTCTCTACCAAAAATACAAAAATTAGCCAGGCATAGTGGCGCATGCCTGTAATCCCAGCTACTCAGGGAGCAGGGCTGAGGCGGCAGGGGAATCACCTGAGCCCAGAGAGGTCGAGACTGTAGTAAACTGATACTGCATCACTGCACTCCAGCCTGGGCAACAGAGTCTAAAGATGGGGTTTCATGGTGTCTCCGAGGCTGGTCTCGAACTCCTGAGTTCAAGTGATCCTCCCACCTCGGCCTCCCAAAGTGCTGAGATTACAGGCGTGAGCCACTGCCTGGCCACCCCTGCCTTCTGAGGGAATTAAAACAAGGGAAATGAAAAGTGTTAAGTAACTAGTGAGGATAATATAATAATAGCTGACAAGGAAGAGTGTGTGGGAGGCTTTTTTTAAAACTTTAGAATCTGTATAATCTATAACCCATGTTACGTTAGACTTTTCTGTTTATTTTCTTACTCCCACTGCCATCCCCCTCAGAATGTAAACTCTTCAGTTACTTCTTTCCCTCCCCAACTCTCCCCCAACATTTCCTTTACAAGACCTCACCCAGGGGTGACTAATTAATAATACTGATCTTCCTGAAGGGATAGGGGCCTGAAGCATTTCTCTTTTTAGGACTTTCAGGACAAATTGCTTCAAACTCCAAAATCAAATTCAACCTGTCATTCGTGTTTTGCTTTGGCTGTATTCTCACCACCTAGAAGAGTGACTGACACCTGGTAGGCACGCCAAAACGTGTCTGTTGAATCAATGAATTAATTCCTCTTCTTAAAAATCTAAAACTGGTCACAGGGTAGAGTAGTTGACATCTTACCACCAGCAGAAGGTTTGAAAAGGGCTATAGGAGTCTCAGTCAAGCCCAGCACAATAGGCAGGGGAAGAGCCTAAAGTTCGGCTTTTTCCCTTTGTTCAGGATAATTGGCCTAACGTTATGTGTGAACCAAATGCTTTGTAGTTGGAAACCCAAGACCCCTGTGATAAAACGCAACACGAAATTCTTTTTTTTTTCCTTTTATTATTGTTAACAAGTGTTTGGTATTTTCTCAACGAAATTCTTTTAAGATCTGCATATCCAAATGTATTTCAAGTTTTGAACAGCGGGCGGGACCGAGCAACAAAAGTCCTGTCGTCCTCACTTAACAAAGCCACAAGACAAGATGGCGCCGTCCTCCAAGAGCCGGATCTGGGAACAAGTCCACGCCCGCGGGGTGTGCACGCGCCCGGGCTCGCCCCCAGACAACGCTGGCGTGCGCTACGGCACCCAAAGAGCGTGGTAGTCAGTCTCCACCCACGTTTTCCGCCACTCCCTGCGCACATGCGCTTTAGGCTCTTAGCTGGACGTCAGTTGCGCAGGCGCCACAGGCTCCTCCTCCCGCGCAACTGACGCAAGAAGACTGTAATCGGTTCGCAATTTATCCCGTGTGACCTTGAGTCTTTCCTGTCGCCGAGGACCCGGGCTGTCCGAGGTGCCGCCTTCATACCCCTCTTCCTCTCCTGGACTCTTTCTGAGCCCAGAGCCGCCGCAGCCGGAACCGGAGGGCAGGCTTTCTTCAACCATCATGCTTTGGAGCATATTACCTGAACGCCCTGGCTCCGGGAGCGGCAGTCATGTATCCTCTAGTCAGGCGGCGCGGGCGGCGCCTCAGCGGAAGAGCGGGCCTTTGGGCCGCAGTGACCAACCCCCGCCCCTCACCCACGTGGTTGGAGGTTTCCAGAAGCGCTGCCGCCGCCGCACCGCGCACCTCCCGGCCGCTTGAGTGCCTGTTTGCTGCCTCTTACTTCTCCATCTAGCCGCCATGATAAGCGCCAGCCGAACTGCGGCAGCCCGTCTCGTGGGCGCCGCAGCCTCCCGGGGCCCCGCGGCCGCCCGCCACCAGGTGAGGAACTATCGGACCGTCCTGGATGGGGTCACGGCCTCAGGCCTCAGGCCTCGGGAGTCGGTGCGACAGGCCGCGCGCCTTTTAGGTTTTGAATTATCCGGGAGAGGTCAGGAGAGAAAGAAAGTAACGGGCCTTCCACAGTTAGCGCTGCCGGTTCAATGCCTTTCCGAAGGTTTTGCCTCCGCCTGGGGCCCTGCTGAGTCACACCCCTCGCAATCTAGAGTGTCATCCCACATATTAGCAGGTAGTGGTGCTGATGGCCCGCTCTGTGTCTGGATGGGAAGGTTTGGCCTTGAGGGCGAGGGATGCAGTCTGTTTGGAAAGCCGCTATTTTCATTTTATTTTCGGCTTTTCTGCAGAATACAGTGTGTGTAAGGTTCCTATGGATATGATGAAATAAAGTAAAAAAATTCTTAACACTGAGTCGGAAATAAAACTCCACTTCCAGTTTTCGTGCTTAAGAATATTTTTTCCAAATGCGATTGTTTCGTTTGTACTTGAGAAAAAAAGCAAATGGGGAAAAAAAAAGGCAATGGAGTAGTTACTTGTTATCTAAAATCAAAGACAAGTGCTTTGGAGAATAGGAATTGTATGTGGGCATTAAGGAAGGCTTGGAAGGAGATTGAGGTTAAAGTTGTAACAAAGGTCTTTTATCCTAGTGAACGGCCACTGCTTAAGTTTTCCCTTTTAAAGACTCTACAAGATTAGTAACCCCAGTTCTCTTAAACTAGTTGCATGGCAAGGTCAGGGGAAAGTGTCTCCCCTCGGTTTTACCCCAGGAGACATCTGGCAATGTCTTTGGATATTTTAGGTTGTCACTAATTTAGTGGGGTGCTTAATGGTTTCTAGGGTGTAGAAGCCAGGGTTGCTGGTGTGTATCCTACAGTGCACCGAACAGCACCCACCACAAAGATCTGGCCCCAAATTAGTAGTGGTAAGGCTGAGAAATCCTACTGTAATGTGATTCTAAGGCCATGTTTTTTTTGGCCTCTTAACTTACTTGGGAAACTATGTTTATTAAACATTTACTGTTTTAGCAGCTTAACGTATCTTACATACTAAGCTAGCCCAAGTTTTCTTTTTTCTCCCAGTAGACACACTGGTTGGTGACTGAGTCAGTTTTTTTCTTTTTTAGGATAGCTGGAATGGCCTTAGTCATGAGGCATTTAGAATTGTTTCAAGGCGGGATTATGCGTAAGTATAACTTCATTTCCTTTGAGAAGAAATACATACTGAATTTCAGAGCTGTGTTTTCTACATTTGCAGTTAATTATCCTTTCCTGTAATTATTTATCTGTATTTATTTAGAGATTATGTAGTATACCACTGTTAATTTTCCTATTAAATATTATCTTTCAGTGACTTATTGATCAAGATAACAATAGCTGTGACACTTCTAAATGTCTTACAGATCGGAAGCAATCAAGGGAGCAGTTGTTGGTATTGATTTGGGTACTACCAACTCCTGTGTGGCAGTTATGGAAGGGAAACAAGCAAAGGTAAGCATGATTAGTAATTAGTACCCTATCCAGAACCTATCAAGAATCTGTGCTCTTTTCCTTAGTTAAGGAATTTGAGAACCTGATTTATTTTTTTTAATTTGAGACAGTCTTACAGCCCAGACTGGAGTGCAGTGGCACAATAATCCGCTCATAGTAACCTCTGCCTCCTGAGTTCAGGCAGTTCTTCTGCCTCTGCCACATAGTTGGGATTACAGGTGTGAGCCACCATGCCTGGCTAAATTTTTGTATTTTTAGTAGAGACAGAGTTTCACCTCATTGGCCAGGCTGGTCTCAAACTCAAGTGATCTGCCCACTTTCACCTCCCAAAGTGCTGGGATTCCAGGCGTGAACCACTGAGCCTGGCCTGAAACTACTTCTAACTAAAACAGCAAAAACATGGGACAAAGACTTGTATAGATCAGGCCAGGCGTGGTGGCTCATACATGCCTTAACTCCAGCATTTTGGGAGGCCGAGGCAGGCAGATCACCCAAGTTCAAGTTCAAGACCAGCCTGGCCAACATGGTGAAACCTCATCTCTACTAAAAATACAAAAAATTAGCCAGGTGTGGTGGCAGGCATCTTTAATCCCAGCTACTCGGGAGACTGAGGCTGGAGAATCTCTTGAACCCAGCAGGCAGAGGTTACAGTGAGATGAGATCACATCATTGCACTCCAGCCTGGGCAACAGACGAGACTTGGTATCAGGAGGAAAAAAAAAGAAAAACCTGATCTATAGTTTTTCTTTTTTTTTTCCTTTTGAAATAGAGTCTTGCTCTGTTGTCCAGGCTGGAGTGCAGTGGCGTGATCTCAGCTCACTACAACCTCTGCCTCCTGGGTTCAAACTATTCTCCTATCTCAACCTCCTGAGTAGCTGGTACTACATCACACCCGGCTAATTTTTTTGTATTTTTAGTAGAGACAGGGTTTCACCATGTTAGCCAGGCTGATCTCAAACTCCTAACCTCAGAAAATTTGCCTGCCTTGGCCTCCCAAAATGCTGGGATTACAGGCGTGAGCCACCATGCCCAGCCAGTTCAGGCTTTTCATACCCAGTGTTGGGACAAGAATCTTTACTTTCATATGGATAATGATATCTACTTCTAAATTTTTTTGTGGTGGCCACAAATTTCAGGCATATAGGAAAAATGTCGAGAACTACAGATTAGGGCCAAGAGAAGAGATAATCTTTTGGTTCCAAACAAGTGGGATAAGAAGACTATAGACTGTTCAGGTTATTTCAGAAGAGGAGACGGGTGAAAGAGGAAGCATGAAATCAAAAAAAGCCATGAAAGGAAGAAACAAGAATTCCAGATGCTGTAAATCTTGCTTAATAACCCAGTGGGAATAAAGGTTCCATGTACAGAGTGAGGAGGCTTCAAAAGGAATAGCCTGCTCCAATGAACAACATGCATTACTTCAGATATGGAGCTCTACTTGCTTCTAGTCTATCTGTGCACCTCCAACCTTGTTTCATCTGACCTAGAAAATGCAGCACTTTGGTGATTACCAGGGTAACCAAACAGTGCAAGCCATTCCCACCCGTCTTAATAGTAAATTATTAGTCCTGCTTCTATACCACATTTAAATCCTTTTCTGGGAAGTTACATACATTCAGTTGTTAGCACTACAAAGGTTCACCTGTAGTCTTAAGCAACCAAAAGCAGCTTTTAAAATGTAAGTCAGGGCCTGACCTGGTGGCTCATGCCTGTAATCCCAACAGTTTGAGAGGCCACTCGAGTCTGGGAATTAAATCATCCTGGGCAATGTGGCAAAACACTGTCTCTACAAAAAATTAGGCATGGTGGTATACCTGTAGTCCCAGCTACTCCGGAGGCTGAGGTGGGAGGATCAGCTGAGCCTGGCAGGTCAAGGCTGCAGTGAGCCATGATAGTGCCAGTGTACTCCAGCCTAGGTGACAGAGTGAGACTGTGTCTCAAAAAAAAAAAAAAAAAAAAGGCAGTAGTAGTAGTAGTGGTAGTTTGAAAGTAAAACACTGAAAATATCTTAAATATCTACTGTCTTCATTAACTGTATCAGCAGTAAAGCATGCCCAGCAGTATTGCTCATGAGTATTTGTTACGTAATTTGGGACCTGTTTGTGTCTTAAATGATTGCTGCAAAGATACCAGTGATAGGCTGAGTGCAGTAGCTCATGCTTGTAATCCCAGCACTTTGGGAGGCCAAGGTGGGCGGATTACCTGAGATCTAGAGTTCGAGACCAGCCCGGCAACATGGTGAAACCCCATGTCTACTGAAAAAAAAAAATACCAAAAAAATTACAGCCAGCGTTAACTTCACCTTCAGGGGCAAGTTGGGTCAGCAAGCAGCTCGCCACATTTCCAGGTGGGTCAGAGCCTTGCGTAGGGCCCTGGCCAGAAGGAGCAAGTGGGAAACAGAAAAGGGTTAGAGAACACTAAGATCTTCGGGAAGCCCCACATTCCCCACTGCAGTTCTGCCTTTTGGCCCGTTCTCTGGCATCCACAACCTTGCTGGAGCTCTTGCTCTGATACTCCTACTTGCCACACTCACCAGCCTGGACTATCCCTGTCAGCCCCTCCCACAGTGGACTGCCTACCTGGTATCTTTTGTGGCCACAAACACCACAGGATTCGGTGCATCAGCTGGGTTTAGTTTCTGATGCTTGGCTACTGGTTGTGAGCTTGAATAAATATAGCCGTGCCTATAGTCCCAGCTACTGGGGAGGGAGGCTGAGGCAGGAGAAAAAAATCATTTGAACATGGGACTTGGAGGTTGCAGTGAGCCAAGATTGCCATCACACTCCAGCCTTAGCGACAGAGTGAGACTTCATCTCAAAAAAAAAAAAAGTGACAACTAGAACCTTATTTTCTGTCACATTTTGGGAGTTTAGGTGCTGGAGAATGCCGAAGGTGCCAGAACCACCCCTTCAGTTGTGGCCTTTACATCGGATGGTGAGCGACTTGTTGGCATGCCAGCCAAGCGACAGGCTGTCACGAACCCAAACAATACATTCTATGCTACCAAGCGTCTCATTGGCCGGCGATATGATGATCCTGAAGTACAGAAAGACATGTGAGTAATAGTAAAAGTGCAGTTATTTGCAAGGACCATGCAGAAGAGTGTCAGCATGTTGATTAGGATCCCTAGAGCACCTTACTTTAGTCACTTTACATACTGTCCCTAGGGGAAATCTGTACCACTGCCAAAAGGGTAATTCCTTTAAAAAATTCATTTTTGTCTTGACAGATTAGATCTTTGCACAATATTGACATAATAAACGATGATTTGCAAGGCATTCCTTAACCACATAATTCAGTGTTGAATACATAAGGCAGAAATGGCATAGGTTCTATCCTGTGTTGATCCAGTACAGAAAAACTTGATTTTGCTTTTTTCCTTTCTTTTCCTTTCCCCCCCAGTAGAGACTGGTCTCACTATGTTGTCCAGGTTGGTGTTGAACTCCTGGACTCAAATGATGCTTCCACCCCAGCCTCCCAAGGTACTGGGATTACAGGCATGAGCCATCTTGCCCAGCCTGCTTTTTTCTAAATAGACTAGTATTAGAGGCCAAGTGTGGTGGCTCATGCCTGTAATCCTTGCGCTTTGGGAGGCTGAGGTGGGCTCAGGAGTTCAAGACCAGCCTGGGAAACTTGGTGAAAAGCCCCCTCTGCAAAAATACAAAAATAAGCTGAGCTCGGTGGTGTATGCTAGCCACTAGTGAGGCTGAAGCAGGAGAATCATTTGAGCCTGGGAAGCAGAGGTTCCAGTGAGCCAAGATCGTGCCATTACACTCCAGCCTGAGTAATAGCAGTGAAACCCTGTCTCCAAAAAAAAAAAAAAATGCTAGAAGCATAGGTAGAGTTTCTTGTTACATAAAAAGTTTTTTAGGCCTGGAGCAGTGGCTCGTACCTGTAATCCTAGCACTTTAGGAGGCAGAGGTGGGAGGTTTGTTTCAGGCTGAGTTAAACAGCTTTCTTGAGCTTGAGTACAAATTAGTTCTGTATGCATGGAGTCATGTGGACTTCTATGACTGGCTTCTTTCACTTAGCATGTTTTCAAGGCTCATCCATGTTGTAGTGTGTATCAGTACTACATTCCTTTTTATGGCCAAATGATATACTGTATGGACATATAGCACATTTTGTTTATCCATTTGTCAAGTGAAGGACATTTGAGTTTCTGCTTTTTGGCTATTAGGAATAATACTGCTAGAAACATTTGTGTACAAGTGTTTATGTGGATGTAAATGTTTCCTTTTCTCTTAGATAGTAGAATTGCTGGATCATAAAATGTTTCGTTGTCAAATGGAACTTCCAGACTTTATTCTAAAGTGGCTGCAAAAATTTTCTATCTGGGGTGGGAAGTAAAGAATGTTAAGATTTCATCAGTGTATTTCATATGTTGCTTATTTCATTTTGCCTTGTAATCCTCATAAACGTGATTGCTTTCTAAAGAATTTCACGGCCGGGCGCAGTGGCTCACGCCTGTAATCCCAGCACTTTGGGAGGCCGAGGCGGGTGGATCATGAGGTCAAGAGATCGAGACCATTCTGGTCACCATTGTGAAACCCCGTCTCTACTAAAAATAAAAAAAATTAGCTGGGCATGGTGGCACATGCCTGTAATCTCAGCTACTCAGGAGGCTGAGGCAGGAGAATTGCCTGAACCCAGGAGGCGGAGGTTGCGGTGAGCTGAGATCGTGCCATTGCACTCCAGCCTGGGTAACAAGAGTGAAACTCCATCTCAAAAAAAAAAAAAAAAAAAAAAAGAATTTCACTTAATGAATTCCCAGAATTATCATTTGTTGGCCATGAATGAGTGGGGTGGAAGATGGATGTTCATGATACATGGTAATTTTGTCGTGGTAGGTTGTATGGGCTGGTTTTCTCTAATACAATTTTTGTGTCTGACAGTAAAAATGTTCCCTTTAAAATTGTCCGTGCCTCCAATGGTGATGCCTGGGTTGAGGCTCATGGGAAACTGTATTCTCCAAGTCAGATCGGAGCATTTGTGTTGATGAAGATGAAAGAGACTGCAGGTGAGTGGGTTTAGTTCACAAGTGGGAAAGTTCTAAGAACTGAATGATTCCTTGAGATTACTAGCTTCCAAATCCCCAGCGTCATGCAGATGAATCTGTGGTGCCTTTTGTATAGAAAACCTAGGAATGGCAAAACTGTTATACTTCATGCTTTACCTGCAGATTGAATTTATCTTCAAGTCTCACTAATGGTGGCTGGCTTGTTTCTTTATTTCCAGTGTGGGGTAATGTTCTATATTGAAAGCCTCAAGACTACACATTAAGCTTTTGTCCCTGTTAGATAAAAATTAGAACTTCCTATTTGAAGTGGCTGTTGTAAGTCTAAAGGTCATTGTAGTTTCGTGAACCTTCACTAAAATGTTGAAAGAGTGATTTGGGTATGGTTGTTTTTTGGAAGACGGAGTTTTGCTCGTTGCCCGGGCTGGAGTACAATGGTGCAGTCTCAGCTTACCAGGTTCAAACAATTTTCCTGCCTCAGCCTCCTGAGTAGCTGGGATTACAGGTGCCTGCCATCACACCTGGCTAATTTTTTGTATTTTTAGTAGAGACAGGGTTTCTCCATGTTGGTCAGGCTGGTCTCGAACTCCCAACCTCAGGTGATCCGTCTGCCTCGACCTCCCAAAGTGCTGGCATCACAGGCATGAGCCACTGTGCCCAGCCAATCTTGGGTTTTCTTTTGAGATGAGGAGTCTCACTCTCACCCAAACTGAAGTGCAGTGCGCGATCTCAGCTCACTGCAACCTCTGCTTCCCAGGTTCAAGCCATTCTCCTGCTTCAGCCTCCCGAGTAGCTGGGACTACAGGTGCATACCACCACACCTGGCTAATTTTTTGTATTTTTAGTAGAGATGGGGTTTCGCCAGGATGGTCTTGATCTCCTGACCTCGTGATCTGCACCCCCTCGGCCTCCCGAAGTCCGGGATTTCAGGCATGAACCACTGTGCCCAGCCTGATGTTGGGTTTTTAACCAGTATATTTAGTTGGAGTGTCTTCCTGTAAGGACAGATTAGGTCACTTGCCAAAAGACTGATGAATATTGTCTGTAGCTCCAAAAGGATGACACATTTGTTGGGCTATATTGATAATTCTGTTCTGACAGAATTCCATTTTTTCCCCCCAGAAAATTACTTGGGGCACACAGCAAAAAATGCTGTGATCACAGTCCCAGCTTACTTCAATGACTCGCAGAGACAGGTGAGGTCAATTAGCATTCTTCACAAAAAGTAATGGTGCCTGGGATGGAAGGGCAGAAAAATGCTTTTCTCTTTGTTTTCCCTAGGCCACTAAAGATGCTGGCCAGATATCTGGACTGAATGTACTTCGGGTGATTAATGAGCCCACAGCTGCTGCTCTTGCCTATGGTCTGGACAAATCAGAAGACAAAGTGTAAGTTGGCGCAGTAAATTTCTCACCTGGATTTGTGAAACTAAAGTAATGGAGCCATGGGACTTACCTAAATTGTCACTTGGATTTCTTTTTATTTTTTTTATTTTTATTTTTTTTTAAGATGGGATTTCACCATGATGGCCAGGCTGGTCTTAAACTCCTGACCTCAGGTGATCCATTCACCTCGGCCTCCCAAAGTGCTAGGATTACAGGCATGAGCCACCACACCCGGCCTGTCACTTGGATTTCTTAACGATTGAACCTTTTACTTAAACTGAAAATGATTTTACTGATTTTAAGTCTATATGGTCTGTGTGTTTTTTCATTTCAAAACCATTCCTTTGTTTTCTTTTGGGCCATGGGAATTTAACAAGTATATACCTCAGGAAAATAGCTAAGATTATCTGTATTTGATTATTGAAATTTCTATCCTGGTGATAGGTTTTGTTTCTTAAGGATTTCTTTCTTTCTAGCATTGCTGTATATGATTTAGGAGGTGGAACTTTTGACATTTCTATCCTGGAAATTCAGAAAGGAGTATTCGAGGTGAAATCCACAAATGGGGACACTTTCTTAGGGGGGGAAGACTTTGACCAGGCCTTGCTACGGCACATTGTAAAGGAGTTCAAGAGAGAGGTGAGTTACCAATGTGGTTAATATGTAGACATTGGGATATTGATAAATTCTTTTTTCAGATTGCTCTTTGCTTTGTTGATGAGTTCAGTTCAGCCCCCTTATTCTAGACACAGATACTCTTCCAAGTAGATTAATTTTTTTCCTACAGATAAAGGGTAATTAAAAGTAATTCATGCTTGTTTATAAAGGTGTGACTCCATTTTGTGTTGTTCACCTTATTACTGCAGTTTAAAATTATTTACCACCTCATTAATAATGCTGGTGTTGAATGTCTTCACTTTGTAGACGGGGGTTGATTTGACCAAAGACAACATGGCACTTCAGAGGGTGCGGGAAGCTGCTGAAAAGGCTAAGTGTGAACTCTCCTCATCTGTGCAGGTGAGACATGGAAAAATCCCAGAAGTCTTGATAGATATTTTCAGCTGGAGGTTATTTAAATAGTATTTTCTAATTGGCCAAATGTCAGTTGAGTGAGTTTGTTTGTTTTTACAATTTTCTGGTTTGTAGATACCTTTGCCGTGAGCACAGAAACAGTAAGGTCTTTATTTGTGAGCTGAAATTTTTTAACCACCCAAATCAGTTACGTATACTGGAGCTAAATAATATCTGAATTACACTGGGTATACTTGTTTGCCTTTCAGTTAAAGATATTTATTTTTAAAACCTGGTTTAGCAGTGTTTAAAACTAGAATTGCTAGCTTGGAAAAACTGCTGCCTTAACTGAAATATTAAATAAATATCTTAGAGTTATTAACTCTTATAAGTGTCCTTTTTTTTTTCCTTTGGTTGGAGACAGTCTTGCTCTGTCATCCAGGCTGTGATCTCATCTCACTGAAACTTCAGCCTCCTGAGTAGCTGGGACTATAGGCACGTGCCACTAGTCTGGCTAACTTTTGGTAATTTTTTTTTTTTTCAGCAGAGATGGGGTTTCACGTTAGCCAGGATGGTCTTGATCTCCTGACCTCGTGAGCCACCGTACCTGGCCGTTTTTTGAGACAGTTTTGCTCTTGTTGCTCAGGCTGGAGTGCAGTGGTGCTGGGTTCAAGCAGTTCTCCTGCCTCACCCTCCCGAGTAGCTGGGATTACAGGTGTGCACCACCATGCCTGGGTAATTTTTGTATTTTTAGTACAGACAGGGTTCACCATGTTGGCCAGGCTGGTCTCCTGACCTGAGGCGATTCGGCTGCCACAGCCTCCCAAAGTGCTGGAATTACAGCTATGAGCTATGAGCCCAGCTAATTGTCTCACTTAATAATTTGAAAAATTGGCCGGGCGCGGTGGCTCAAGCCTGTAATCCCAGCACTTTGGGAGGCTGAGGCGGGTGGATCATGAGGTCAAGAGATTGAGACCATCCTGGTCAACATGGTAAAACCCCGTCTCTACTAAAAAAAATACAAAAAACTAGCTGGGCATGGTTGTGTGTGCCTGTAATCCCAGCTACTCAGGAGACTGAGGCAGGAGAATTGCAGATCACGCCATTGCACTCCAGCCTGGGTAACAAGAGCGAAACTCCATCTCAAAAAATATGTATAATAGAATTTGAAAAATTAGGCAGTCATAGTGTGCACACCTATGGTCCCAGCTACTCGAGAGACTAAGGAGGATTGTTTGAGCCCAGGAGGTTGAGGCAGCAGGGAGCCGTAATCACACCATTGCACTCCATCCTGGGTGACAGAGCGAGACCCTGTCTCAAAAAATGACAGTAATTTGAATCACCAGTCTGGAAAATGAGGTGAAGCTTGTGCAAGTTTCCCTCTGTGAGCATCAGATTTACTCAGCCTCTCTAAGCATCAGCTTGTTTAGCTCCAGTTCTGAGAGAAGCTTCACTTAACCACCAAGAATAGAATTGTATAAACCATGTTAGATCTGTTAGAAACCCACAAAGATGGAAAGCAGATCTATTTCCGGTGTCTGGTGACAGCAGGAAGAGCAGAGTTGTGACTGCTTTATTTTGATCGCCCACAGGGAAGAGGTATTTAAGACAGTTTTCATTGTGTTAGTAAAGTGGTTCTTGCTAATGAACCTTTAGTAAACTTGGATTTTTTTTTTTAAAGTGGCTGTGAGGAGTGACAGTTACACACACTCATCCATGGTCTTGCTGTTACTTTGCCCCACTATCATGGAGTGGCAGAACATTGCAACATTGGTTAGGGTTGAGGTTGAAATACGTGGCACTGCCAGAAGATAGTTTCTAATTCTTCCCAGGGATTTGACCTTTGGGGTAGGGGATGTGATATATTGGAAGAGATTGATTGGTTTTAATTAGTGTGGTTGCATCCTATTGATAGACATTTGGATTATTTTCTAGCAGTTATTATGGCAAGATGTATTGAGCTTCCTTACACATTCAGTTTTGCATAGGTGATTGTAAATCTATAGAATAAATTCTTTGTGTGTATTATCCTCATGCAGTTTATGTTGTGGTTTGAAAAGATGGACATTAATTAGAACAGATTAGTAAATGTTAAAGTATAAGTGATACAAAGTAAAAGTTAAGGGTGATTCTGCAGGCATTCTGCTGGGGTTCAAGTCCCCATTGCATCGCTTATTTGGTGATCTTGGATGAATTAACATTACTGTTTCTTATCTACAAAATAAGGATAATGATGGGTACTGTTCCCCTTAAGAGTTGTTAACATTACCGAGTTCATAAATATTATATGCTTAGGAAAACATACAGGAAATTGTGAGTGCTCTAAATGTTACTGTTAATGATAACAAGTGGTAACAAGGCAGTTACGTTTATAATTTAAGAAGAGGCAAGGCTCATGCCTATAATCCCAGCACTTTGGGAGGCTGAGGCGGGTGGATCACAAGGTCAAGAGATCAAGACCATCCTGGTCAACATGGTGAAACCCTGTCTCTACTAAAAATACAGAAATTAGCTGGGCATAGTGGCACACGCCTGTAGTCCCAGCTACTCGGGAGGCTGAGGCAGGAGAATTGCTTGAACCCAGGAGGCGGAGGTTGCGGTGAGCTGAGATCGCACCATTGCACTCCAGCATGAGTAACAAGAGCGAAACTCCGTCTCAAAAAAGGAGGGGGGCGCTGCACTTCGGGTGACCAGGGCAGGAATATTGCTTGAGCTTAGGAGTTGGTGACCAGCCTGGGCAAAATAGTGAGACCCCCATCTCTACAAAACTAGCTGGGTGTGGCACACAACACAGGTGCACACCTGTAGTCCCAGCTACTCAAGAGGCTGAAGCATGAGAATCCCTTGAACCGCCACTGCACCCCAGGCTCCACGACAGAGCAGGTCTCTAAAAATAAGAAGGGACCAGGCACAGTGGTTCATACCTGTAATCTCACCATTTTAGGAGGCCAAGGCAGGTGAATCACCTGAGGTCAGTAGTTCAAGACTAGTCTGGCCAACGTGGTATAACCCTGTCTCTACTAAAAATACAATAGTTAGCCAAATGTGGCAGTTGCCTGTAATCCCAGCTACTGTATAGGCTGAGGCAGGAGAATTGCTTGAACCTGGGAAGCAAAGGTTGCAGTGTGCCCAGATGGCACCACAGCAGTCCAACCTGAGCAACAGAATGAGACTTTGTCTCAAAAAATAAAAATAATCTGGCCAGGTGCGGTGGCTCATGCCTGTAATCCCAACACTTCGGGAGTCCCAGGCGGGCAGATCACCAGGTCAAGAGATGGAGAGCATCCTGGCCAATATTGTGAAACCCCATCTCTACTAAAAATAGAAAAATTAGTTGGGCATGATGATGGCATGTGCCTGTAGTCCCCACCTACTTGGGAGGCTAAGGCTGGAGAATTTCTTGAACCTGGAAGGCGGACGTTGCAGTGACCTGAGATTGTGTCACTGCACTCCACCCTGGTGATAGAGCAAGGCTTTGTCTCAATTCATCATCATCATCATCTCAGAAGGTACCTGAGAGAGGTGTTCATCATAACAAGGATAGCATCTGAGAGATGAGTTGATAAGAAAAAGATAAATGGGCAGTAGGTGTAAGGCTCTCAGGTGAAGACCTAAGAAAGGGCCAGAGTGGCCAAAAGGGCAAAGTGAAGATTGGAGTAGGATGTTGGTGGGCATGGAAAATGAGGCTAGAGCAAGCTTGTCCAACCTGTGGCCCAACACAAATTTGTAAACTTCTTAAAGTGTGTGTGTGTGGCGCGTGTTTATCCTTGGGCTAGAGGCTTCGTAGATGTGAGATTTGGCATCTCTTCCAAGATAAATAAAAACTCTGTGTGTGTGTGTGTGTGTGTTTATCCTTGGGCTAGAGGCTTTGTAGATGTCAGATTTGGCATCCCTTCCAAGATAAGTAAATACAAACCCCAGAGGAGTTGAGGATAGTAACATGGTCAGGTGTTGATTTGTGAAAAGCTCTCTGGCTAGAGTCGAGAATTGTTAAGGGCAGAAGGCAGCCTGAGTGGATGTGGGGAGGCTGTTGTAATCATGTGTTGAGAAAAGACTTGGATAAGAGTGTCAGAGTAAGACATAAGTGGTTGGGTTTGAGAGAAGAGGTAAGGAGAGAACATTGTGATGGATGTTAGACTGGTTGTAGAGGGTTGAGAGTTAGGAGTACTGGAGTTTTCAGGTTGTCATTAGCTTTTAGTGTTTAGAGTTGTGTTGCTATAGTAGCCAAATGCAGGTTTTCAATTAATTAAAATTAGCATTTAAAGTTTCATTTCTTAATTACACTAGTTTTATTTCAAGTGCTCAGTAGTCATGTTAGTGGTTGCTGAATTGAGCAGCATAAAGAGCATTTTCATCATCACAGAGTTCTACTCGATAGCACTGGTTTAGATAAATTCTGTATTCTGATTTGGTTTATCAACATTTTGCAAAAAAAAATTGTTAATATTTAGATATCACTATTCTACAGATGGTGTGTTAACTCTGTTTATTAAGTATTTAAAGGTCTAGGATACTTTCTCCTGAAGAAAGATGGTTATGGACTCATTCTGTTCTTATACATTGTGAGATTCCATGTCATACTGGGATTTGGGATTTATTAAATACTGGATGTTACATGGTGTGGCTGTCAGCAGCTCTGCATGGATGTAACGGCCATGCAAGTCAGTTCTCATACTTGTCTTTAATGAGAGCATGTCTGTAGCTTTCATACCACTTGTAAACATCCTGTAACTTACAGAACCCATGGTTGGTGGCATGTTATTTGGTTCAGACCATTTTCTTCAGGTACATGGGATATTTCTAAAACTAGGTGAAGGAAAACATCAGTTGTATGGTTCAAATGAGTATTTAGTGGCAGAATAGCTCTTTATATCCTGAATAGGGATTTTTTTTCCTGCTTATCTGCTGCATTCTTAATAACTTATAAAGTTCATTAAAACAGATTCTATGCTGTTTATCTCTGGGGAGATAAAACGTTGCATCTTAAAGAGTAACTGTTCTTGCTGACTGTTCATTTAAATTAGGTCTCACCCACCCTGTGGTTTTCCAAGTCTTCTGTCCTAGGGTATGGTCACATTTTAGTTGAAATAATAAATGTAACCATCATTTGGCTTCCCCACTAACATGCAATTAAACATTTCCTCTGCAGACTGACATTAATTTGCCCTATCTTACAATGGATTCTTCTGGACCCAAGCATTTGAATATGAAGCTGACCCGTGCTCAATTTGAAGGGATTGTCACTGATCTAATCAGGAGGACCATCGCTCCATGCCAAAAAGCTATGCAAGATGCAGAAGTCAGCAAGAGTGACATAGGAGAAGTGATTCTTGTGGGTGGCATGACTAGGATGCCCAAGGTATGGACCCATGGAATTCTGTCATAGAGAGAGGGGGCTGGCACAAGTATATGGCCGCCCATTCTGCTGGGGTGACCTAACAGAGAGATGAGATTTTATCTTCACTATTCTTTCGTGTCTTGTTAAAAATTGAAGAATAGGCCAGGCATGGTGGCTCACACTTATAAATCCCAGCACTTTGGGAGGCTGAGGCAGGCAGATCAAGTGAATCCATGAGTTTGAGGCCAGCCTGGGCAACATGGCAAAATCACCTGTACAAAAATACAAAAAATTAGCTGGATGTGGTGGTGCATGCCTGTAATCCCAGCTACTTGGGAGGATTGCCTGAGCTCTGAGGTTGATCACCTGAGTGAGGTTGAGGCTGCAGTGGGCCATGATCATGCCACTGCACTCAGCCGGGGCAGCAGAGCATGACCCCGTCTCAAAAAAGAAAAGAAAAAGTTAATATAAGAAAAATTAGGAGGGGCACTAGCAGGGAGGATCCTGAACTCAGTCATCGAATTTTTAGGACTGAAACAAAGTTCGAGATCAGAACATAAAACTTTGGTAATAACTCTTCCCCCAACCCCCGCCCTAGTTCTTTATACGTGTGTCTTTGCAGCATAGGGCATCTCTTCAAAGATTTGTGCAATGATGTATTTTATTCAACACATCATTCTGAAAGAATATGTGTGGAAAACTAATGACTGAGCACAAACCTGTTGAAGATGCAATTCTTGGTAGCCTAAATAGGATTATCTTGGGCCTAAGTTAGTAACCTTGTTTTTTTCTGAATTTTCCCATTGAAGTACATGGCCTTAGGGAATAGCAAAAAATGAACCTGGGAAAACAAGGCCTTGGACCAGACCTCTCTATTAAGAAATTTTCCCCAAATCTATTCAAATAGAACTTTTTCTTATCACTAATATAATAAACATGAGGGAGGAACATGCCCTTACATTAGCAATACACATTATTACTATAGCTGCCTTTAATAATTTGGTCTTTATTGATAATTTGCAAGAGGACGTGGACATCTGAGTCCCCTTGTCTTGCATTCTCTGTTTCAAATGATGTATTGTGTGGGAAACCAGATAATAAAACTTAGAATCCTTCCCAGATTTACAAGGGTTGTGAATGAGATATTCCTGTAAGTATAAAGTATATGCGTGTTATGAGATCATTAGCAGGAACCCAACTATGAAATGGTGATTTGAATAAACATTCTCAGATTTGAAACAGCCTGTCTTAAGAGTGTAGGACACATGTGCTCTCTTTTGTTCTGCTCAGGTAGTTCCCAAGTGTGGGCTGACAGGTTCTTTTTCCTTGATGCTCAGGTTCAGCAGACTGTGCAGGATCTTTTTGGCAGAGCCCCAAGTAAAGCTGTCAATCCTGATGAGGCTGTGGCCATTGGAGCTGCCATTCAGGGAGGTGTGTTGGCTGGCGATGTCACAGATGTACTGCTCCTGGATGTCACTCCCCTGTCTCTGGGTATTGAAACTCTGGGAGGTGTCTTTACCAAACTTATTAATAGGAATACCACTATTCCAACCAAGAAGAGCCAGGTAAGAACCATCACTTCCTACCTTGTCATGTGGGTTTTAGGTTCTATGAGGGATGTGATTGTAGCCACTTTCATGAGCATTTTCAAGAAAACACTCCGTTTTGCTGTTCAGAATAGTAATAGTTAACTGTGGGTGGTGAGAATCTTGTGTTCTGTTTTCTTTTTTTTGTTACCAGAAAAGTTCTTAGATGTCAGCTGGTGGTGATGATTACAGGAAGGACATCAATGGTCTCCTCCACAGGATTAATATAATTTGCTAAAAGGGATCTCAGTCATTTGACACTGAATTCCCTGTATGTAGTCTTCTCGAAGATGGTAAAAAGGATAGTCTGGACCAGATTTAGGGAAGTGTTCTTATCTTATGGGTGAATGAAGGGGTTGGTATGGAGGTACTGAGACACCAAGCAGGGCTATGTGGACATGGCTTGTTCTTGAAGTAGGAATTATTTCCGGCTGGGTGCTGTGGCTCATGCCTGTACTGCCAGCACTTTCGGAGGCTGAGGCAAGAGGATTGCTTGAGCCCAAGAATTTGAGACTGGTCTGGTAACATGGTGAAGCCACCTCTCTCCAAAAAATTAAATTAGCCAGGCATGGTGCTGTGCACCTGTAGTCTCAAATACTCAGGAGGCTGAGGTGAGTGCATTGCTTGAGCATGGGAGGCAGAGGTTGCAATGAGCTGAGATCGTGCCACTGTACTCCTGCCTGGGTGACAGTATGATGTGAGGCCTTGTCTCAAAAAAAATTATTTCTCGATTTTCCCAATCTTGTGGTTGGGAAACTATAACTGTTGCTGTATTTGTACAGTGATTTATTTGTCAACACATCATTCTGAAGAAATGTGGTGATTTCCTGTGACTGAGCACATGATACATCTATCTCTGATTTGTTTCCCCAGATGAACACGTTTCACATTTTAGTTCCTTTTGAGGCTTTCTGTCCTAAAGCTGCATCTTTGTACAGTGCATTTGCTTAGTTGAAACAATAGCTATTGTATGCCCTTTTGCTGTACTAATCCTATTCCTATTTCCTGTAAAGACATCAGCCTTTGTTCTGAACATACTGTTAAATTAGGACACTTCAGTCTTGGAATGTGAATCTTTCTTCTGGCTCTCATTTTTTTCTATAGAAAGGGAATAGTTTAATCAGATTGCCAACCCAGGAAGTTTTCTTCTTCCCTAGGTATTCTCTACTGCTGCTGACGGTCAGACGCAAGTGGAAATTAAAGTGTGTCAGGGTGAGAGAGAGATGGCTGGAGATAACAAACTCCTTGGACAATTTACTTTGGTAGGTATTGTGAACCCAGAATCCTGTGCTCCTTCACTGTAAAGTGAGATAATATTTTAAGCCATAAAAATATTAGTATAAACTGCTCGCATACAAATATATACTGTGTAATCTCAAGAAGGAGGTGTGCAGACACTGTACAACTGAATACCCATGGGATCCGTTTTTACCTGAAAGCCTTACTTTTTCCTTGTGTCTTAGGAACTTCCTCAGAAATAAACTCCTGATTACTCATTTAAAAGACATTTGATACTGTTACTGGTTTCTGATCAGGATTGCTTGTGAGGTGAATTAAATAGTGGGGAGGTTTGCTGTCATTCAGTGTGTACCCAGGTACATTCAGCGGTTACTTGCTATAGCTAAACTTCACTGGTATAAAACCTGTTGATTTCAGGCAGCAAACTACTACTGTTGCTTATAAACTGTGTTTTTTGTACAGCGAATCACTTCCCTCCTAGGAACCAAGTGACTTGTTTACTAGAATACCGTATCAATTTGGAAATAATAGCACTAGACCCCCCTGTAAGAGCACCTTACTCTGGATATTATTTATTATTTATTTTAGATTGGAATTCCACCAGCCCCTCGTGGAGTTCCTCAGATTGAAGTTACATTTGACATTGATGCCAATGGGATTGTACATGTTTCTGCTAAAGATAAGGGCACAGGACGTGAGCAGCAGAGTAAGTCACCCTGTTTATCAGATCATAAGAGTGAGATGAGGGAGCTCTTAGGAATAGACCCTCTTACTGTGCTGTTTTTCCCCAGGCCTCAAGGGAGGATGATGAGTCCTCTTTGTCCCTCAGTTACCAGATTTGCTTTTACAAGTATATTGTTTATTCCCTCAAAATAGGGAGGCACTGAGCCTGTGGGTTGCTGAAGTTTTGATGGACAAACAGGCCAGGCGTTTGTATATATTGGGTCCTTGGTTTCATTTTGTTTTATAGGACTATAGGGTATTTCTCCTCTTCATAATTTGTATCAAGATTGGCTGCTATGAGCAGGAGTACTCTTAATGCAATGGAGAAAGAGGCATATAACTTTACCTGAGAATTAATGAAATGCCTTCTTTTTACTACAGTTGTAATCCAGTCTTCTGGTGGGTTAAGCAAAGATGATATTGAAAATATGGTTAAAAATGCAGAGAAATATGCTGAGGAAGACCGGCGAAAGAAGGTGATTACTTTTTGTCTTCTGAACTTTACTCTTAGTAAAGCTGGATTTTGAAAGTGGAGTTTGTGGCCAGGCGCAGTGGCTCATGCCTGTAATCCCAGGACTTTGGGAGGCCAAAGTGGGCAGATTGTTTGAAGTCAGAAGTTTGAGACCAGCCTGACCAATATGGTGAAACCCTATCTTTACTAAAAATACAAAAAAGTTAGCCAGGCATGGTGGCACACACTTGTAGTCCCAGCTACTTGGGAAGCTTAGGCCCAAGAATCACTTGGACCTGGGAGGCTGAGGTTGCAGGGAGCCAAAATAGCACCACTGCACTCCAGCCTGGACAACAAATCTGTCTCCAAAACAAAAAAGTGGGAGAGTTTGAACATGTCATAGGTTGTGGGTAAGAGAAAACCTAAGATCAGTCTATTCTCCCTTCTCTGTTGGTTATACCTTATGTGGTGCAGTGCCTTTATTTCTGTTTTCCCTGTCACAATTCTCATGTTACAAAATCTAGCCTAAATCTCAAAGCCATCCAGACTACCTCATGTCACTCTGATTTCTCCCTTACTTTGTTTTTAGTCTGTAACTGTAGGCGGCACATAGCTTATTGTCTTATTGAGCATAGATGTTCAGCAAACTGGTTGACTGGAGAGTTTTCATTTATATTAAACTTTTAATTTCTCTAAGGAACGAGTTGAAGCAGTTAATATGGCTGAAGGAATCATTCATGATACAGAAACCAAGATGGAGGAATTCAAGGACCAATTGCCTGCTGATGAGGTGAGCTCTATTTTAAAGAAACTCAAGAGGTTGGACACATTGTTACCAGTGCCAGTGAAGTTTATTTTTCTGGGGGGTTTGATAGGGGTTTAATTATTTTAAAATGCGTCTAACTAGGAGACCTGGAAAAGTAAGGATTTTTGTTTTCTTTTTTTAAGTGCAACAAGCTAAAAGAAGAGATTTCCAAAATGAGGGAGCTCCTGGCTAGAAAAGACAGTGAAACAGGAGAAAACATTAGACAGGCAGCATCCTCTCTTCAGCAGGCATCATTGAAGCTCTTCGAAATGGCATACAAAAAGGTACAAGGATGAAGTGAGGTTTGATCCTAACCTGGTATTGATGGAATAGTTCTTCATTATTGTCACTGGTGGCTCCCTCCATAGCCATTTGTGGAATTAAGAGTGAGGTTAGAGTTGGAGAAATTCTCCTGCTGTCTTGACTCTACTTTGGGATTGTGGGTAGTGTCAAAGGGAAGCAATCCAGAAATCATTAAGAGTGAAAAGAGGGGAGGGAGAGTGGAATAGAGACGAAGGATGGGAGTATGTGGCTCCTTCATTTTGGAGTGCAACAAAGGAAATGGTTAGCCCTAACGTTAAATCTGAGTGGCTCTCAAATGTTTTCTTAACAGATGGCATCTGAGCGAGAAGGCTCTGGAAGTTCTGGCACTGGGGAACAAAAGGAAGATCAAAAGGAGGAGAAACAGTAATAGCAGAAATTTTGAAGCCAAAAGGACAACAGATGAAGCTTAGGAGTGAAGAGACTTCCTGAGCAGAAATGGGCAAACTTCAGTCTTTTTACTGTGTTTTTGCAGTATTCTATATATAATTTCATTAATTTGTAAATTTAGTGACCATTAGCTAGTGACCAATTTAATGGGTGGTGATTCTAACAGTATAAAGTTCACAATGTTCTATGTCCCTAGCCTGTCATTTTTCAGCTGCATGTAAAAGGTGGTAGGATGGATTAATTGATCATTATAAAGACTCAACTATTTTATGCTGAAGTGGCCGTATTTTCAAGGGGTGAAACCATCTTGCCCACAACAATGAAGGTAGTCAACCATAGACCTGGAATGAGAGACCACATATGGGGATGAGATCCTTCTAGTTAGCCTAGTACTGCTGTACTGGCCTATGTGTACATGGGGTCCTTCAACTGAGGCCTTGCAAGGGAAGCCAGCTGTGCCATGTTTATGGATGGGGCAGAGGAACCTAGAATAATGGAAAATGAATCTATTTATGTTAGGTAGAGCTATTAAAACAAGGTAGGAATGAGGCTAGGCCTTTAACTTCCCTAAGGCATACACTTTTCTAGCTACCTTCCGCCCTGTGTCTGGCACCTTCATTCTTAATGATTGTTCTCTTTTATCCATTCTGGATTTTTTTTTTAAATAAATATAAAAACCATCTTGTTCTCGTTTGTGAGGGGTGATGCCCTTAGATTTAGCTTCAAGAATATGACATCTCTCGTGCCTCCCATACTTCCCAAGGAGGGAGATGAGGATTTTCTAACATTGGAAATGCAAATTCAAGATTTAAAGGGCTGGTATAATTAAATAATGAGCAGTATCAGCATGTAAAAATCTTGTTTGAAGCATTTTCTTTTCTCTCCTAGACCTTTCATATACTTAGAACCTTAAAACAGTTTCTAGATCTCTAACAGGAAAACCAAGGTGGCTATTTTCAGGTTGCTTTCAGCTCCAAGTAGAAATGACCAGAATTGGCTTATATTAAACTGCATCTAGAAATAAGTCCTAAGGTATTATTTCTATGGCTCAAAAATAACAGGAACCCAGATTTCTTTCCCTGGGTTCTGCTTTTCTGTCCTCAGTGTACTGGCTTGTCCCAAATTCTCTGATGTAGTTCTAATTAGCACATACTGACAACTTGAGCAGAAAGGGGACTACATCTTTATTAAATGTTACGCATTATTTCCCAGAAGGCTCTCAGCAGGTTTGTGTTTCATGGACTACTATCATATGCCATGTTCAAAGGAGTCTGTTATCAACACAGGCTTAGAACATCAGACATAATGGCTCCTTTCATATTGTTTTTGTTTTTTTAAGACGGGGTTTCACCATGTTGCTTAGGCTGGTCTTGAACTCCCGACCTCAGGTGATCTGCCCACCTTGGCCTCCAAAGTGTTTGGATTACAGGCGTGAGCCACCACACCCGGCCTATATTGTTTTGTAATATGTAGAAATGAGAATATTTTCAAACTTCAGTATAAGAAATCAATTGAATATGCAAGTGTGAAGGAAGTGATTAACATTTCTGGAAGATTCAGTGTTAACACCCATGTAGAAGATCTAGGCTCAAGTTTCCAACTGCATAAACACTTGATGGGAACATTGTGGGATTATGAAGGATTGTTATATGGAGTATTGCAAGATATTTAGCATTTTTTGTTGGCCCTTGCCCATTAATTCTACTGTCTCCCAATCATAACTAAAAAAGCCCTCCAGGATTTCCAGAGCACTCCAGTAGAGAACTACTGGCTTACATTAGTCAAGACTCATGCTTGGGATCAGAGAGAGGAACAAAATATATCTATCTGGAGAAGTTGTTTAGGTGGGTTGGGTACCCATAGAAATTGTCTCCAGCTGTCCCATGGGTATGAGTGGACACAGTACTTCAGTCACCTATCAGTAAAGCTAATAGGATAAACAGTAAGAAAGTATAATGGGATTTCCTAAAGAAATAGAGCCAATAGGATATATATCTAGAATGAGATTTATTATAAGGTACTGGCTCACATAGTGGCTAGGTCCCACAATCCACTCGTGGGAAAGCTGTCTTAGTCTGAGATTAGAAGAATATGGATGCCTTAGCTCTGGCAGGTGGAATTTCAATTCCCTTCTGTCTTTTTATTTTTGTTCTATGTGGGCCCTTAACTGATTAGATGATGCATGCTCTCACCAAAGCAGAGCAAACTGATTTTCTCCAATTCAATACTAATCTTTTCTGGAGACTCACTCAAAATGTTACATGGCATCAGTGGCCAAATTAACACAAGATTGTCACAAAAGAAATGATTTGGTTTTCTTTAGTAGAGCCTCGCTTTTGTGGTTATAACTACTTGCTTGGGTCCCAAGAAGAACTTATGGGATGCCTCTTACACTAACCGTTTGTTTTCTGGGGGTTTTGTTTGGTTGATTTTTTGAGATGGAATCTTGCTCTGTTGCCCAGGCTGGAGAGGTGTGATCTTGGCTCACTGCAACCTCTGCCTCAGCCTCCTGAGTAGCTGGGACTACAGGTACCCACCACAACATCCAGCTTTTTTTTTTCTTATGAGAGACAAGGTCTTACTCTCACCCAGGCTGGAATGTAGTGTCGTGATCATGGCTCACTGTAGCCTCTGCCTCCTGGGTTCAAACAATTCTCCTACCCCAGCTTACCTAGTAGCTGGGATTACATGCACTCGCCACCACACCCAGCTAAGTTTTGTATTTTTAGTAGAGATGGGGTTTCACCTTCTTGGCCAGGCTGATCTTGAACTCCTAACCTCAGGTAATCCACTCACCTTGGCCTCCCAAAATGCTGGGATTACAGGCTTGAGCCACCATGCCCAGTCTTGCTGTCACCCAGGCTATAGTGCATTGATGTATTCATAGCTCACTGCAACCTTGAACTCTTGGGCTCAAGCAATCCTGCCTCAGCCTCTCAAGTAGTTAAGACTACAGGTGCACACCACCTCACCTGGCTTATTTTTTTTTTTGAGATGGAGTCTTGCCCAAGCTAGGGTGCAGTGGCCCAATCTCAGCTCACTGCAACCTGTGCCTCCCAGATTCCAGTGATTCTCCTGCCTCAGTTTACCAATAACTAGGACTACAGGCACATGCCACCATGCCCAGCTAATTTTTGTTTTTTTAAGTAGAGATGGGTTTCACCATATTGGCCAGTCTGGTCACAAACTCCTGACCTTGTGATCCACCTACCTCACCCTCCCAAAGTGGTGCTGGGATTATAGATATTAGCCACTGTGCCTGGTGTTTGTTTGTTTGTTTTTTGAGACGTCTCACTCTGTCATACAGGCTGGAGTACAGTGGTACCATCACAGCTCACTTCAGACCTCCACCTCCCAATCTCAAGTGATCCTCTCACCTAAGCCTCTGGAGTGACTGGGACCACAGGCGCACACTACTGTGCCAGGCTGACTTTCTTTTTTGGTAGAAATGAGGTCACTACATTGCCAAGGTTGACCTCACACGACCTCAAGCAATCTTCCCACCTCAGCCTCCCAAAATGGTGGGATTACAAGCATGAGACATTGTGCCCAGCCCGATTATTTGTGCTGAGTCAGGTATACATTATCAGTAGAAATACTATATACATGTGTACATAATATATCAATTCTCAGGGAGATCAAGACATTCCATTTCTTTGATCCACATAACATAATGACTACAGCAAGATGGAGCAGCAGAAATAAAAGCAAGTTCTTACAAATGGTGCATAAGAAGATGGGTGTAAAGAAGCAACTCAAATTTTGGAAATAACATTTCAAGAAAAGACCCTTTACCATTTCAGATACCACTGCAACTCCATTCTCTTCTCCAGTCATAAGGCCAGTTTTTTTGTTTGAGACAGAGCCTCACTCTGTCACCCAGGCTGGACTGCAATGGTACAATCTCAACCTCCACTTCCCAGGTTCAAGCAATTCTCCTGACTCAGTCTCCCAAGTAGCTGGGATTACAAGTGCCCACCATCATGCTTGGCTAATTTTTGTATTTTTAGTAGAGGTGGGGTTTTACCATGTTGGCCAGGTTAGTCTCGAACTCGTGACCTCAGGTGATCTGCCCACCTCAGCCTCCCAAAGAGCTGGGATTACAGGCATAAGCCACCAACCAACTCTTAAGCCCACTTTGTAAGGGCTTTGTCGTCTCCCTTTCCCCCCACCTCTAGTATCAGAATACAAAATAAGTGAAAACCCTAGGAACAGATAAAGGAGCTACAAGGCGACCTACAGCACTCCGAACAACATGTAGGAGGTACTTTAGCAATTATGGAATTAATGAAATAGGCATTTGAGTAGATAAACAATTGAATATCAGCAATTTCTTATAGTTAACCCTATTACGAGGAGCCATTTCTGCTACAGTAGGTCAGGAAATCTGTCTTGACACTAAAAAGAAGACTGCAGCTGAGCATCAAACCAGCCTTTAATGTATGCATCAGCCCTGCAATCAGGAATAGGAAAATAAAATGTTTCACCAAGCTCACAAGTTCTTAAACAGATTGTTGAAGCCCCTGACTGAGATGGTGAAGATTAGGGTCAAAGGTGATGAGGATGTGAGGTGGGGAGTCCATAAGGGACCGATTATAAAGTGCAAGATTGTGAATATTGATTATTTTTAGGGAAATGGTCCATTGCTTTCACTAGTTTCTCAGAGTCTGTTCCAAAGAGGGCTAACCAGATTTCCTATATGGGAAATTTACTAGCTTAAATGGCTTCAAGACCTACCATACCAGTCAGTCACCCCTTTGCCATTTGCCATCCCCTCAATCCTATGCATTTACTTAGCACCCTTTTCCTACCATCCACCTCCTTGGTGTATACCTTCCCCACTCAGCTCACAGATATTTCACTCAAATTCTTATTTTTTTTTTTTTTTTTTTTTGAAACGGAGTCTCGCACTGTCACCCAGGCTGGAGTGCAGTGGTTCGATTTCGGCTTACTGCAACCTCTTCCTCCCATTTCAAGCGATTCTCCAGCCTCAGCCTCCCCAGTAGCTGGGACTACAGGCACACTCCACCATGCCCAGCTAATTTTTTGTATTTTTAGTAGAGACAGGGCTTCACCGTCTTGCCCAGTCTGGTGTCAAACTCCTGAGCTCAGGCAATCCACCCACCTCTGCCTTCCAAAGTGCTGAGATTACAGGCATGAGACACCACGCCCCGCCCTACACTCTAATTTTTTAACTTGTTAATGTTCCACTTAGCAATTTCATCGTTTTTTTGGAGATGGAGTCTCTCTGTCAATCCAGACGGTAGTGCAATGGCACAATCTCGGCTCACTGCAACCTCCGCCTCCTGGGTTCAAGCAATTCTCCTGCCTCAGCCTCCCAAGTAGCTGGGACTACAGGCGCGCGCCACCATGCCCAGCTAATTTTTGTATTTTTAATAGAGACGGGGTTTCACCATGTTGACCAGGATGGTCTCGATCTCTTGACCTTGTGATCCACCCACCTCGGCCTCCTTCTGGATTATTTTGAAGCCAATTCTAGACTTGACAATTTGATTCAAAATATATACTACTAAAAGGATTATAGTACAACATCTATCATTGTCACACCTTTTAACATCTTTATAGCAAACAAGAATATATTTTTCCCAATAGTGTTCTAACTTTAAAGTTGATCTGAGTCAGGAACCAAGGGTCACACCCACATTGTTTGACATGTGCA